TTACTGGATGCTTGGAAGATCCAGATTTAGCACTGGGCAGAAATTTACAAAAAATCCAGAAAAGCATCCAGAAGGTTATGATCTGGGGGTCTGTCTCCACTGAAGTCCAGTGAGAACTCCCATGCATTAATGATATAGTACTACTCATACACTAACATTTCATGCTGGTACAGTTCACAGCAAATTTAGTTGGCCTCTTTCTAGCTTTAGAGACTTAGCTAGGACAAAAAAGAAGGAAAAATTCAAGAGCATGTGGTGGAATTTTGTTTATGTCATCTCATGGTGCCTTGAATGTGGACAGCAAACAAAGCTAGTTACACATTTGGGCCTTGGACCTTGAAACCGATAGCTCATCATTGAAGTTTACAAACTCTGTGTGGGCAAAGTATTCTGCCTATCAATTGCAGGGTTGATTGATTGGTATTTAAAGAAAGAAGGCATAGTCTCCAGAGGAGAGATGCCAAATGACAAGTTGCCTTACCTGCTGCCTGCCACAACTTAACATGAAGTATTTCGGTTACTTCTGTGCTGCACCTTGGACATTCTGGTTATTTTGGCCAGAGGTAAGGTGCTGGTGTCTCAGACACGGATGCTGGCAGCTTGGCAGGCTAGGAATGGGATCCAGGGATGTGTGGGGATGGGGGGGTACAGATTTCTCATGGGACAGCTGGTTCTCACCAATTTTACTAGCACAAGAATTCTGCAAATGCATTCTTACTCCCCCAACCCCATAGTGAATATCTGCAGTCATTGAAAAAATAGCACTGCTATTGGTGACTGTGCTATTAATGTGCCAGTTAGCCAAGAAGCTACAGCCTGGTGCATTCACCTCCTGATACTGAAGTTGGGTGTGCTGTGTGGATTGAGGCCAAATGCCAAGACCATCTAGTGGTCCCTTCTGGTCTTAAAAACTCTGACACCAGAGAAATGCACTAACAGCCAACCAGTGCTCCCTGGGGCATGGCTGGTTGCTATTAAAATAGCAATTTAAACTACTGTAAGCAGAGCCTGGGTCCTGTTCCATCAGACCCAGGTACCTACCTGCATGATCCCAAGCCAAGCTTTTACTAATGAACGGCAGGACCTAAGTCATAATGTAACCACTGCTTCTGCCAGCAGTGCCTTCAGAGCTTTACTATTAGCCTGTGCTCAAGTCCCCCTCATTTGTTTAGGAGCCAACAGAAGCAGAAGTTCCCACCGTAGCCCCAGTTAGGTGGATTGTAAGTCAAAATAGCCTGGGTGAGGGGAGAGAAAGGGCAAAGCAGCGGAAGCTTGGATGCTAGGAGAAGTCATGTGGAAGAGTGGGGAGGGGGGTCTGACTGACAGCAGGAGACAGCCGGTTTGATTTGGAAAGGAGGAGTAGGCGATAGTGTGTCTGAAGTTTTGAAATTAGGGGTGCTGCATAAAGCGAACGAAAGTTCTGTTTCCTTCAAAGTGGGAGCTGAGGGTGATACCAATAGATCAGTCTGCATTTGACGGTGGCTGGAGGAGCTACTGTTCCTCCCTAGCTACTCTCTCATGTTCTCTCCTAATCCACATAATTGCATCCAGTTTGGAGCACTCTGGGGAATGAGTATCAAGAGAACCAGAAAAAAAAAGTTTCTAGAAGAAAAACTAAATTTTAAAAATATTCTAAGGATGGACCTCATTGTTACAGTGGAAAGCACCAGTGGGCTGCTGGCTATTCAATGTATCAGTAGCGCAAAGTGGCTCAAACCTAGGAAGGCAGGGATGTGGATCATCAGGAGAAAGGGGGGGCTCAGTGGTTTGAGCACTGGCCTACTAAACCCAGGGTTGTGAGTTTAATCCTTGGGGGGGTGGGGGGGGCACTTAGAGATCTGGGGCAAAATCAGTACTTGGTCCTGGCTAGTGAAGGCAGGGGGCTGGACTCAACACTTCCAGTTCTAGGAGATAGGTATATCTCCATATATTGGGGCGGGGGAGGGATAGCTCAGTGGTTTGAGCATTGCCCTGCTAAACCCAGGGTTGTGAGTTCAGGGGGGGAGTGTTTAAATAAATAAATAAATAAAAACTGTCTGGGGATTTGCTCTACTTTGAGCAGGGGGTTGTACTAGATGATCTCCTGAGGTCCCTTCCAACCCTGAGATTCTATGAAAGGTATAGCTTTGACAGTGTAAGCAAGATTCAGTGGCTGTATGAAGTCCTCCACATACTAATCAAGCTAAAGTCACACATTCTTTCAGTTAGCCCATGCTGTGACTTTTCCAGTAAGGTGCTAGTCAGTCAATCAAAATAGGATTGGGGATGGATTGTCTAAAACCACATCTGCTATGGTTGTATTGTGTAATCTATGTGAGCTTTACACTTGCATCATCAGATTAAAGAAGAATTAATTCTGTGGCTGTGTTATGATCACTTATTCTGACCTCCTACCTAATGGTCCCTTTGGGCCTTAAAGTCTGTCAGCTAGAATGCTAGATCCAAGTTCTAGCTACTGACAGTAACCTGAAGAACTCTGGTTGCCAATATGGAATATTATTCCTTAGGCATACAATTAAGATATGATGAGCTAAGGGATGGCAGGCACATTTGCCAAGGCATTTCATTTGCTGGAGCCACCTGGATTCAAGGTGTGGCATCCTGGACGACTGTTCAAAGATATCCAATGTTAAGTCTTATTAAATTACTTCAGTATATTGTAATGTGCTGACACAGAACCTTGTAATACCGATAAACAAACAGGTATTTGAAGTTATTTTAGTTCATGTTCACAACTGAAGTCATC